CTCTCTCTCTCTCTCCCTCTCGAACGCGCTGCTGCGGCACTCTCATCTCCGTCCTGTCTGGCAAGAGTACAATGTCGCAGAGCACGTGTAACGGCGTCGTTACACGAAACGATGATGTCGTTCGCTAAAGGATTCCTTTTCGATCGAGCAACCCGAGTATATGGGATATTCTTCCGCGCCATTTTTATTCCTCTGTCGTTGTGCGTCACGTAATTCTCTACTATTATTTCTAGCTTGTGCTATCGGCACTAAGTAACGATTCTCGGTGTGTTTCGTTACGCGTCTTATCGAACGATTCAAAGTAGGTAGAAATCGCGTGAGCGTCGTAATGTAATTAATTCGGGCTTACCTGATTTTTGCCTTTGAGAACGAGTACATTGGTAACACGACCGAAGGGCAGGCCCAGATGGATGATCTCTGCCTCTGTCACCTCGTTAGGTATGTTCCTGATATGAATGACTCTGGAAGGTTTGCCGCTGTGACTCTTGTCGAGCTTAACCTGGAACAAGAAGAATGAATCCCTAGTGAGTCGTCGGATAAAATGAGCTGAGAACTTAATGTCTGGCTCGCCATAAATATATAGTCCAGAAAGGAAAAAAGATATAAATGATCTCATAAATAAGAAAAGATGTTAGAATCATGTAATACCTAAGAAAATAATCTTGTTACTACCCTCCTAATATCGGCGTAATACGATTCAGTAACCGAATATATATAATGTTGACGCTTCTATATACATATTTTATGACAGTTATACAACTCATTCCACGCAGATTATAACATTAACCTGTATATATTTCAACCAAAGATAATTATAAATTATACATTTTATGCTTCTGATAATAATAATAAATCTTAGCGAAGAAATACAATTTTTCCCTAGTCTCTAACTAGTCAACAATTAATAAAAATGTTTATTAATAACTACGGTAATATTAAAAAATGAATGTCATAAACATGACGCAGGCTAAATGACATATATTTATGAGTTCTATTCGATGCATAGAATTCAAAAGATGGTATTTAATTAAAGGGAGAATATTTTCCATTTTAAAAAGACGAGTTATGTCGCGCTTTATGATGCAAGATTTGAAGAATGCGCGATTCTAGTAGAAATAGACGAATATGGTCAGCCCGTCCGGCGAAAGTTTCGCCTGGGATTCACACAAAAGAGAGAAAGAGATAAAAAACTTATCGAATTCCCGGACGAGTTCGCAATCCCGATCGCTTATGTTATTCCATATGCAGCGGCGGGAAGCCAACGAACGTGCGAGATATGTATGTACAAATACTTGTCGTTGCACATGTGTGTGTACACTTAAGTCGAAGCTCGTGTCGCCGGGGGCGGAGTTTTCAATCACGGCTCTATCTAGTTGAACTCGAGAGCACGACGTTTCGCCCTTCCTCCTCGCTTCGGAAAGAACCCTCCGAAATCCATCCACCTCTCTCGGCTTTGCCGCCGGTTTTTCCTAGTCCTTCTTTTTCCCTACCGCTTTTCCTAGCCCCTAGTTCCGAGGCTCTCTTAGGAACGTCGCTGAGGTTTAGTCGAGCTTAACTGATCGGAAAACGCGCTTCTTACCGAGTTAAGGAAGATGGATATTTCAGAGGTGCCCCATTCTTAATCTCCTCTTTCCTCTTTCACGTTTCCCGGAATGGAGTTCGAACGAGTGGCGGATATTTTTGTTTGAGTGTGTCAATCGATACAGAGTAGGAGGAGAACAGAGGCGGATAATTAAAAACATTTCGTGGATTACGAGTTATTAGCGGATAAATGATTTAATTAATTGATTGATCAATTAATCGCACGAGCGAGTGCGATTATATGTATAATACAGGAGAAATATAAATATTTCACAACGATGAAATGTATACATAATAAATGAAAATATTTAAACTATAATATTTTTGCCTGATAGATCGAATCAATTTGTAAATGAAATTGCATATAATCGTATTACATGCAGCACTATATAAAAATAGTAATAAAGCATTGTTTAAAAAAATCAATGATTAATTAATTATTCTAGAATATATTCATCTAGACAACCATTTGTGAATTTTCGACGTAGAACGAATTTCTAGTCTGAACTAGTACTCAATAGGAAAATCCAGTGAGAGTTAAACGATTTATCTTCTCATAAACATCGGGGAGGGGGGGATGGTCGGCATTAACTCAAGTATATAAGGGAGGTCCGGCAGCACTTGATTGCACGAATGAATTAAAAATCAACCCTCACCGACATCTCTTTACGTTCTCCTCCAATTTTCCCGGCATCCTTTTCGCGGCCACGCCGTCGCGCTTTAATCTCGCTTGTACGAACTACCGCAATGACGACGACGATGACGACGATGACAACAATGAAATCGGATTATAAGCGAGTTGGCGTGCCGTATCGCGACGGTATGCCGACGTCGTAATAAGGCGGCTTCCATGACGAGGGTGACCGACGATAGCTACTTATGAAAAGTGTTTGTAGCTCAACAGGTCAAAGTCACGACGAAATAGCCGCAATTTAATTCTTAGAATAACAATAAATATGTAATCTTTGTAATCGACATCTTGTAAATGTTACGTAAAATAAATAGAAAAGCAATTACGGAAATTGGAAAGCTGTCTCTTAGAAGCCCTATTATTAGCACGCGAAAAAACAACCCCATCTTGTACACTCTTGATCCTACGCGAGGTAATAATTTCCTGATTTTCTCGATCGACCCTTCCAGAAGATTCCTCCGTCGAACGAGAAAACAAAGGAGAATATAACGGAGCAATCAGCAGCAAGGCTCTTGTTTTCTACGTCATAATCATGGCTGTAATACACTGGTTACAACAGACGTAATAGAAAGAATGTAGGGGTTGGAACAAGCACGTCGGAAGAATCGGCCCTAAACGTGAGGATGTCTGAAGGGGGCGTGACAGCGACGCGAAGAATTTCGCGAGCGTTCCGGAAAAGGTCGAGATACGACGTAAGTGGATGTCGAATCCAGAAGAAGGGTACTAATTGCTCGGTGTTTCTTCGCAAAGTGCGCGAAAATCACGCGGTGGAGAAACGCTGCCGTAGCGCAAACAAGGTTCGCTTCAAGTGACATTCATTCACCGTCGAAAATAGCCTTCGAGAATCTGTACCATCACGAGCTCTCGAGCTTCATGTCTGGACGACACGTTTCCAGGTTCTCTACTTTGATTCCCTACGTGGGGTGAGACGCGCGATTTGCGTTCTCATTCCCCTTCGAGCCTTACTCATTTGCTCGACCACGTTGAAAAACTTTATCCTAGGACTCGAGTCATTGACTATGTAATACAAGTTTCATTCTGAGGTGACAATGGTGTTCTAATAACAATGCGAAAATTTAATTTCATTTCTGAATTATTTTTTTTTCTATTTTAGTATCAATAAGACCGAGATTCGCTGCGGAGCTTCTCTTTTCTCTCGTTATCACATGAAGTTCTCGGTCTCGAACAGGCCTCGTCGATCGCCCTTTCTCGTCAGAGCCGATAATTGGGCATAATAGAGGCAATTCGCGGAAAATCGTCCGTAGGAAATAGGCCATGTGAGCCTCGTGCGTCACGACGACGAGCACCACCAAAAGTCGAACATGACCCTGCGATTTGATTTATTGACAAATGCGCCGCTGCGTGGTCACGATAACGTGCATTCTTGTCTGACACGAGATCATATATTTTCCGATGTTACATGTCACCATACATGCCACATAAGTTTGATAAAAATTTCCAATAGCAATTTTGATATGAAAAAAAGAGAATAAAAGACCGGCGATTAATTTAAAGATTTATATTAAATTAATTCCCGATTTTAATTATATTAATAATAACATTATGAATGCATAATTTTATTATTAATATAATTAAAATCGGGTATCCAGGAAAGATTTAAGGAATTCAAATCCCAAAAATTAAAATTATGATTTATTTTTTTATCTCAAAATTAGAAACGAGAAGATATTCTAAGCTTTAAAATATCCAAAAAAGCAATTCATTGGCGCAAAAAATTGCTGTTTATGTATTAACAGAATTGATACCCCTCCCCCTCCCCGGAAAAAAAAATCCTGCCTTTCATTATCTTGTATGTTTAAATTATTTAAATCCAACTTTTATGGCATCAAATTCAAAACACGCCTGCATTATTCAGACGTGAAAATTGTATAGCCGTTGTTAGAGAAATAAACGCGTCTTGGTATTCACATGCCTGTGTTGCCGCTAATAAAATTCTATGCGAGCAGCGCGCTCAAGGCGCTGTAAAGCAAGAAGCAGTAGTAATTGTAGATTTCGCCTTGTAGTGTATTACAAGGAGTTACATCTGAAGTGAGCGTGAAGCGCCGGTAGGAAGTCTTGCGCGAACGATAAACACGTGATCGTTAACTCTCGTCCCTCGCGCGTTCTATAAATGCCAAAGGTGAGGCGTGTAAAAGCGAAGTTAACACGCCAATAATCTTTACGGCGCCGCTGCCGTTAAGCGAACGCAGCCGGCTTTAAGGGTGTCTGTAAATGAGAGCAGCGGATGCTGCCCATTACGCAGTCGTGTCGATCGTTAAAAGCGATCGTTACGGGAAAAATGGCGAATGGATATCGATATCCGCGAGTGCCACTCAAATTCGTATCTTGTGAACACTCCATAAATCGTGATCCATCTTTCTGCTCTCTTCGAACTGTTCCTTTTCGCCTTGAACAACTGTTTGCGGATTTAAAAATAATATAGTAGTAATAAATTGTTGTTAAACGCGAGAATATCGTTCGTAGCACTACGAAAAGTAAAACTGGAAATCCAGAGTAAAAATTAAATTATTTCACTTACAATACACACAAGAGATATCAGATACACGTCTAGAAAAATATCGTTCATCGAATCGTTACATATAGCGTGATGATACATGATACAGGGAGTAACTAAAATAAATAAGTACATTGCGGTCTGTTATTACATCACGTGTGTAACAAAATCTCATGTTCTAAATGCCTTCTCTTGTAACGCCAGTTTTTCCCCGATTATTTTATGATGCAAAATAATTATGTATTTACGTTATGTATTTTTGTAAAAAAATCACGATTTATATAAAGAAATTCATTTACAAACTTGAATATACATAAATTGGAGGCATTTCCGTAATAATTAAAATACAAGTACATAATATTCAACGTAGTTAACTAATAAATATTTAAAGCATTGCAAAGTATCGTGATAAAGCATCACGAGTGGCTAATCGCGATAGCTAATTTACACTGCACGTTTTTCTATTGCGGTTTTAGAGACGCGTGCAGAGTACCGAGAATTTGCTTTCGTGTTCCACGGGCATAACGCAACCTGTATTCTACATAGTTGCAATATAATGTAAGATCAATCGCGCTAAAGCTTCGCGCTTCTGTCTCAAGGTCGTAACAGCCGTACGTCGCAATCGCGTTCATTGTGTTTACGCGGCGCCTTGCATTAATAATTGGCGAACGCGAGCATGTAAGATAAACGACGCATTAAGTCCCAATTATTTGCCGCAGGCTATAATACAAATTGCCTTCGATAAAGCGAGATCTGAGAACTCTCACGATCAGAAACTGAGAAACCGATAAAACGAAGACGGGAGATACTCGCGATGCTCTTTCCGCCTTGCGAACGCGCTCGACTCACGATCAGAAACGTATACGATATAAAAATGATCACGATCCCTGAACGCGACATTAATCATCAAGAGTCACATTTTGGATATACACGAGATTAGAAAGCGGTCAAATAAAGCGTAAGGGAAACGCAGGGGAAAAAACGGGATTTCGATCTCGTAAACGGGAGGTCAAATGCTTTCGCCTCATTTGCTCGCCCTCGTGGTACTTTCCAAAATGAGAGAAAGCCCGTGAAGGAGCACGTGACTTTTCGTTATTTTCCCTACTTTTTTTGAGCAAAGATGAATGTCACGTAACTGACCGTAAATCTTTGATGTAATTGATAAGATGGGACAGAAGCATTCCCTTCGATCGAGAGCGATTTTGAAACAATCTTCTCGATTCTCTGCATTTTTCCTTTCGAATTTATCTCTCTGAAATACGTAATACGACTTCGATCGATATAAAAACACAGATAGATACATCATAACGAGTATCTTTCCGTTTTTTTTGAACGAATCTCCGATGTTTCGGCAAACGGAAATAATCTTCGGCTAATCATTCTGAATTTTAATAATCTTTTTTTAAAACTAGATAATTTTTGTTTTCTTCAATTTAGAAGGAATTTTTGGCAGTAGATTTTATTTTAATAAAGAACGTTAACAAAATGTTAAATATGCAATGAATTAAATTATTGGCTTCATTTTTCTACCTTTCTTTTGCTGAAAAACCAATCTCTGGCAAAACACTAATTTAAAGATGGCAATCATGATCGTAATCAATGCGTGTTCGATATTTTGCAAAAAGAAAATTCGAGAAAATTCATAGAATATTTTTCTGTTGCAAACAGACTTCGTGCCATTTTCGTCGAATACAGCGCAATGTTATTTCGTAAACTACTCATCTCTCCATAAATAAATAAATACAGTTTACAGCATTTGCGGCAATAGCCGCTTGGTGAAACGCAAAGAGTACTATCGAAAAACCCAAATCGTTTTCGTATCACGAAACGCATCCGAGAGAATATGCGGAGAAAGGACACGATTTTTCGCGCCAAATACATTCTAACTTTCGAAGCTTAATGTAAAACGTTAAATAAACATTTTCATGAAAAAAAATGCAAAATTCACATCGAGCATCGGATATTCGTTTGACGAATTACCGAACGAATAAATTCGACAGTTAAAACTCCGCGTATCAAAACAATACAGGATTTAAACCCCGGACTCCCACGTGATCGCCATGCTTGCGTCATCGGTAGCCGACGCCATGTTGCTCCGGGCATTTCGCGCGAAAGAACGAACGGGGTCGCGGGTTAGAGAAACATTTTCGAAACGCGCGACCCCGAGTAGAGACGACGCACGAGCGTGGTGGACTTACATCAAGGAAATCCATGCGCATCCTCAGGTGCGGACCTCTCCTGTCCCATGTTTCGTGCTTGATGCTGCCGCGCATGCCTACGGATCCGCCGAGCGCCAGCAGGTGGTGAGACTCGCGGTAGACGTCGAGAGGCACCGGCTGCCCGACGACGCCGATGCCGACGCCGACGCGATCCACCGCCGCCATTTCCGCACTCCCGACCACGAGGTTCTTATTGACAAACCGAAACATGGCCCGGCGTCGCCGTCGACGCCGACGACGCGACGCGCGGCGTCCGTCGCGCGCGAACGTGTCCACGAAACAACGTGTTGCGGCATCGCCCGGTCGATCTCGCCGTCCGCGCTCGGCCGGCTCCGCCGCGATTCGGCGCGCCTCGGCGCGCCTCGCGCAGCTACGCGCACGTCACGTGACGTCGCATCAGCCTATGTAGATACAATATAAACATAGAACGTGTGTAATACACAGAACGTGTGTAATACACAGTATCTCGAAAACATTGCCCATTTCACAAAAATATGCTTCGATGAATTGATTTTTCTCTCTATTTTTATATGTCGAGTGCCGGAAGACTGTTTACATACATATTTGCCGTTAAAAATGTTGGATTTAACCGTAGCTTCAACGTTTAAGAAAATGAAAATTATAAATCTATATAAGGTAAATGAGCTGAATAATAAATAATGATATAAAATATATTAAATATATAATATACAAAATATTTTATGTACAAATTTTTCAACACTTAATTATTTTTTTAATCTTGTAATAATAGCACAGTTTGATATTGTTATAAACTAGTTTTTTCTATTTTTTAAATTATTCTTTAAATCTCTCTAACTGGTTAAAAATGTTTAAAAATGTTAAAAAAACTAGCCATTATTTTTTCGCAATTTTTTGTATATAAACGTAGAATATTCTAAAATTTTCACGCATCTCCGATACTTTTTTTCGATCAATCTTGTACGTTTTTAACACTTTGGCAACAAAAAATAAAAAAATAAGTAATAAACAAAGGTATCAATCATATGAGAATTTTTTATTAGAATCAGACTGATAAGCAAAATTTGTTTTTAGCTTGTCTCAGGTCGAAATTCCGCTTATTCGATTTGAAACGAAAGTGAAGCTTTAAAGCTGCAAGGCCGTTTAAAAATTCTATTTCATGCAAATGAAGAGAGGGGAGATGCGCTGGCTGTAGGCTTTGCAAATTCCGATACCTCGTAAAAAGCACTCCGGTTTGTGTTAGTGCCAACGGGAAGCAAAATTTGTTTTCATTTGATATAATTAGAATTCTCAATCGATGATTAATGACGTCAAAACGTGCTGATAGATTGGTATAATTAATGCGCCGTACACTCGAATGTGGACATTACGTATATTAACAGACGTATTTTCTAAATCTAACCGTCCACTCAGTCGTGCAACGCAAACGTACTCTGACGAAAATAAACGGTAAATTCGATCGTCTACATTTGCCATTTTCGTTCGTAGAAACAAAGAGATCATCGTTCGAGATCATCGTTATGGCGCAAAAATGGCGTCTCGTCGTTTTCCAACTCTCCAGCGAGAGATCTAATAGTGCAAATGCACTTAGATTCGACGGCACGTGCCACGACGAGGGACGCAACAGGCGGCGGCAGTCGCATCTCCATTAGAAATCCAAGTAGGCACCCACAGCCACCGGTCCAAAACTTATACGGTCCTCCTACGCCGTGTCTCAGCCTCCACCTCCAATCCCCTCGCCCGGTAGGAAAATCCGGACTCCCTTCCTCGGAAGCGTTTGCGGAACTCCGAGATAAGCATCGCGACAGATGCACCCGAGTGCATTCGAGGGTGACGCAGAAAAGAACCCCCCTCCCCCCCTCGTCCACCCCGCCCACTTCTCACAATGGGATGCATTCGCGTTACCGAGTTGTTGAGCCTTTGTGCATCTCTACGTAGATTCTAGCGACGAATCTTTTATGATATCCTGCTCTTCCAAACGCCCCATTGAATTTTAATCGCGGATTCTTTGCCGAACATGCAATCGAATCATTTCTCTTGTCAAATATTTATAAATATTTGTTTACCAAAAACTGTTTGCGAAATAAATCATCATTTACTGCACTCACATAATTTTTCTTTAACTGCTCTTCATCATAAATTATTTTATGTATTATACTAGAGAATATTTTATAGAATATATAGCATAATGCATAAACTAGAATCGTAAAAAGAGTGGAATTATATAAAATATTAAATACGCAGCGAGAATACGAAGCAAGAATTTTTATTTCCGTTTTCCTGATTTAATATGCGGTGACTGAAAATTCATGAAAGCGAGTGGTCGAAAATTTATTTTAATGTGCATAATTTAAACCGTCGGAATCAGCGATCGATTCGCTTTTTCTCGCTATCGAATAGATTAATTAGCGCTGGAATTGAGCTCCAGGCGTGAGAACTAAACTCATTTTCCAGGCGACCCAGAAAAATGCGCCGAATACGAGGGTAGAGGGATACGAATAGAGCCATACGAATAACGCGGAAACATCGATCGTTGATATTATTGACGTGAACTTTCAAAGAGTGACGGGAGGATTGCGGGAAGAAAAATCTTCGGTTCGATTAATTGGTCGTCTGCCCCGAAAAAAAAATTAACGGAAAGAAAGGCAAAGGGTTGACTGGCTGACTCAAACCGGTACAACAAACCCAATCACGCGACGGTGTCGATAAAAAAAAAAGGGAAAAAAGAAGAAAAAAAAAAAAGAAAAGAGAAGAATGAGAAAAACCAAGCGAGAGAACGAAACGAGGTAACAACGCAACAAAGAGGTGTTCGGAAAAACGGGAAAGCGTAACGAAAAAGAGCGAGAAAGGAAACGATGAGGAATGAATCCGGAGGGGTCGGAGCGAAAGGGTTAAGGTGAGGGAGCAACGTTGCGAACGCCCGTGCGGGCGTCCGTTCTCGATATTAATTAACGCCAATAATGAGTTATTTTCTGTTTGGCTTGGCGTGGACCCGCCGCGCCGCGGGCAACCGCCACCTGATCCCGCGTACAGTTGTACAAACGATCGTTTTCATCCCTTTTCCTCGCCCTGCAATCTCATAGAACCCCTCCCCCCGTGCAACATCCAGCGGCAGTAACCGATCGCATCCGCGCCCTCGCGATCGCCAATCATCGTGCGAGTTTGGCTCTGATGAAGGCGAGTCACGGTATCGATTTCGATAGGACACTTGTCCCTCTTTTTTCTCCTACATCGCGCTCTTCGCTATCCTGCCTTTTCACAACTCTCCCCTCTCCCCCCTCTCCCCCGATACCAATCCCCGGCAGCGATTTCTTTCTCTCTTCATCACCCCCCATCCCCCTCTCTCTTTCTCTCGCACTCTGTGACGAACGCAAAATTAACTGGCAGCGAATTCGTCGTGCAAAAGCGGGCGAATATATAGTGTAACGGCGGCCGCCACCGCGGATTAATTAATTCGATCGAATTTCATATGCCGAGGGCTGTACGGATGAAAGGGTTGTTTTGGCGAAACGATCGAGGAACCGATCGGGTAAATACGGTCCGGTGAATTTTACAAATACCGTGACCGAACGCGTCGAGAACGCGCTGCGCGTTTAGTAAAAACGATATGGATATTATTTTTAATTTCTTTTTCCACCGCGGTCACGTGTCAAATCCATTTTTACTCGGACCGTACCAGCAAATTCTTCTTCGTCGTTTATTTAGTCTGTTTTATCGATACATTCCATGCCATTACCACATTAATTTTTAATAATACATTTCATTTAATGATTTTGTGAGCTAATTATTTTGTAATTATTGACCGGCAAAAGATATCGGACGGTTTGGACAAATTTAATTTCAAATAGCGAAAAATCGTAATGCATAATATAATATGACGATTGCGGAAATGATTGCTTTGTATATGTTTTAACTCGGGTATTTGAATCAGTTTTTGTCAGAAAATACCATCGGTAATATTCGATGAACGATTCCAAACTGAAAATAGTTCGGTAATCGGTTTTCGCTTGATTACACGGTACGAAGTTGTTGCATTCGGGGAATAATTTGCACGCCCGACAGCGTCCAGGAGTGTAAAATCGTTCTCGCGTTTTCGACAATTGCAATGCGAGAGCGAGTAACTCGATAGTCGGGGAGGCAAAAAAATAATATCGCTCGCAAGCGTTAGAAATTTTTCCCCGGTCGCGTCGAGCGTCAAAGTGGTTAGAGAAAAAAATTTGTCACAGCCCGATGTGCCGCGGTGAAATCGCACGCGCGCAACGAAACGCGAAAACAAGCAAGCGTGATGATGGTGATCAACGCGGTTGGTCGCGACCCATCGGTGTTTATGAATACGCGTCGGACGTATTTTGTTAAATGTTAAACAAACATATGTGTCTACAAAAATAGGAGAGTATATCCGTGCTTGTCCGTGCTTGTGTCGCGGACGCGACGCATGAACGAGCGCATATATCGAGCATTACTCGTGTAATAAAAATCCCCAGAGTATAAAATCGCGATCGGCTCTTCGAACAATTTGTATACCGGCGGAACAATTTATAAAAATACAAATCTCTCGATTGATTTTTAAAGTATATTCAGTGGCTGTGATAATCCACTTCGATCATCCGAAATAACAAAATCGAGTGAAAATCATGAACACGAGAGAGAGAGAGAGAGAGAGAGAGAGAGGAGGGGAGGGGGAGATAGAGTTCCTTCAATCCTCGCCGAAGTCTTCGATCGAGAAAGCGGTATCCGTTATCTGTAACATCTTACCCCTCTGACCATCCGACCAATTCCCCGATTTTCCCACCCTCGTTTCCTCATCCTGGAAACGCATTCTATCCGCAGACTTCGCGCACAAAACGCTCTTATGCAGACCCGGAGTTTCCTCGCTCGACGCCTAGCGTCGGGACGCCGCGGGAATTATCGGCAAAACGTCAATATGCATTACGTCGCCGTCTCTCCATCCACCCGGATCTGACACCATCCCCTCGGCCGTCCGAGGGAGATCCAATCCTCTGCGCGTCCTCTCGACAATCTGCAATCTCGCCGCTCGGTTTCTCTCTCCCCTTCCCCTCCCCTCTCTCTTTTTCCACCCCTTTTCCTTTTCGGCTATCTTGACTATCCTTTCCTTCAGCGAAGAATTCGCTCGTTATCCCCTTTCTCTCGTCGATTTGACACGCTCGATCGCCGATAGAAACGTGTTGCTATCGACAGATTTTCAGAAACGTTTCGGAAAACTTTTAAAA